GAGTTTTTAAAAATCAGAGTATTCAATATAGAGAACAAGTCTTCGTCTACAAAATTGATGTATATATGAATGAATATATGAATATATGAATAATTTTTATTTTTATTATTAACTAAAATTATTTTCTCTTTTATTTCTCTTTCCTTCTTCCCTATTTTTCCTTCCTTCCCCTATATCACAATCAGTCAGAACTTTTGTTACCACTAAGTTTTAAAAATTATCCTGATGATGAGGATGTGGTTCTTCACGCATTGGGAATTTATCAAGACCCAGCTGATAGTAATAATTTATACATGTTTCTGATTAATCATAAACGATCAGGAAGCGTGGTTGAAATTTTTAATCATAAAATTGGGTCACAAGAATTACAATATTTGGAAACCATCAAAGATGATTTGATTCGTTCACCAAACAATCTTTTGCCTGTCTCTAAAAATGAATTCTACCTTACAAATGATTTATACTACAGAAAAGGATTTAAAAAAGAATTTGAATGTTTGTTTTTTTTTTTTTTTTTTTTTAATAGAATAATTTAATTATATATAATTATCAATGGTTATTGGTGGAAATTTTTTTTAATTCTTTCTCTTATATATGTAGTTTTTGCACGTCGTCCATGGTCAAGTGTTGTGTTTTATTCTGGGGTTAATAATAAATCGGAAATAGTTGCAGATAAAATAAGTTATCCTAATGGAATAGATGGTAATTGGGACAATTCACGTATTTATCTGGGAACTTCTGGAAGTGGTAAATTGTTTATATATGAACGAAAACATGACAACAAACTCAAATTATTGGACACTGTTAAAACTGATTCTACGGATAATGTTAGTGTTGATGACATTACTGGTGAAATTTATTTGGCTAGTAAGTGTATCAAGTTTATTAAACATATGCGTTGATTGGTCAGGATTTGTTTTTAAATTATTAATATTTATATAAACTTTTTTTTTTTTTACTTCAAAATAATAAAGCATTCCCAAAGCTTATACCAGCCGCCATCTTCATAGAGGGTTATTATGACACACACGTACCAAGTGCAATCGTAAAAATTAGTAATAATACAAATGAAGATAAATTCTACGGTGTAAAATACTCTAAAGAAATTGTGTATCAAGATGATGGAAGCTTTCTTAATTTCGTTACAGTTGCAGCTGTTGATAGAAAAAGAAATGTTATGCTATTAGGTTCTCTTATTAGTAAAGGAATTGTAAGATGCGAATTAGAGTAGTATGAGCTTGCTAAGTAATCACAAAATTAAAATTGTTTACAAAAAAAGGAAAATGTCCTTAAAAGTTTGATATTATGCTCCATAATTCCTAATTACCATAAAAACCCGTAATAATAATTATAATAATAATAATAATAATAATAATAAATATTATGGCAAGAAAGTTTAAAAACCGTAATTCCGTAAATATTTCAGCCACTTACACTGTAATAGTAAATAATTTGGCTGTCGTGATTCCGTAGGATGATTGCTTCGTAATTATTTATTACAAATGTGTTTTATTGTTAAAATAAAAATTCAGGTTATTGGATAGAAGTGGTTCCAGTTAATAATAAAGGCAAAAAATTATGGCTTATGCATCAGTTTAACTGAGTCGTGTGTTGTCATTAGATTGGCAAGGAATCATCAAGAAATAACCTGGTAATCTGTTCTGTAATATATAATATAAATTAACAGTTAATATTAATATCAGAATTACAGATAATCAATTATGTTTACTATTACGGAATTACAGTGGCTGACGGAATTTAATTTCCCGTTTGCATTTTCGGAGCCAACTACAATCGTGATGATTTAACATTTAGAAGTGAAGTTGTTGATGGAAGGCATAGATGTCTTAAAAGATATTAATAATAGTCGTAATCATAAAATCATAATGATCATTATGCAAGACATGAAAATCATATTAATATCTAGTCGGTAGAGATTCAGTTCTGAATGATCTACAAAATTGGTATCTTGCACTTATTTATTATTATCATCAAAAATTTTTCATTTTTCCATTTTTATTAATAATATCAGATATTAGTTTCTTTGTGAATATTGTTTCTCCGGTAATAGTAAATTCATAACATAATTATTCTTTTTTAAAAAAACATTATCTCTATTCTAATATATTATTATGCTATGAATAAAAAAAATAAAATAAAAAGTAAAATGAATGAATAAACTTAATTTTTAATCCTTTTGAAAATTCAGTTTGAATATTCCATCATGTATTCTTCATTATAATATTTACTATTACACATGTTTTAAGAAATAATATTCAGGGATCATATATACCACCTAACAAAACAATTAATGAATTGATAACTTATCCAACTGTAATATGAATAAATTAATCTGAGCGTCAAATTTATAATGAAAGATGAAGTTAACAGTGGTCATGGCACTACAACATTATGAATCTCTGATCGAAGAAATTTAGGGACGCGTTCCAATAAATCATCCATTTTATCAAAGAACTTTCTTTTTCTTTCTGACTCAATTTTTCTGCTATTATGGTCCTAATACCACGTATGAGTTTCAATTCATAAGATCTTGCGGAATTAATGTGAATTTTGGCATTTACTATAAAATAATAATAATACATGAATAAAAGTTCAAAAAAAGCTTCCATAATTGATGACATACCTGCGGAAAATTGTGCACGACTTAAGAATGTGTACCCGTAGAAATCCTGAAAATTAGTTTGATCAACTATGGCACATATATCAGGAAGATCCACAACTCTCAGGGTATTAACCCGACTAGCATTAGACAAAATGACAAAAACTCACTCCTTGATAGGTGTCTTTTGTTTTAACATTTTAAATACCTCCGCTGCCTACTTATATTCAGTATCAATCAGCTCTTGATTAATTCTTTTAGAATGCTCTGAATCCGATTCAGCATACCTCCCCTATAAAAAATTTGCATACGGAAATTCCGTATAAATTATAATTTTTATTATTATGAAATGATTATTATAAAAGATATGGAATTATTCCGGAAAAAATTGTAAAATATACTAGTATGTTATAAGTTCCGTACTTATATACGGAATCAAAAAGTATGTTAGAAATTCCGTACTTTATATGCGGAATCAAAACGTACCTTTTCAGTATTATCGGTCACAGGACATTTCCCGCTGATCTATAGAAATAAAATAGTTTTTTGTGAACCTCTCTAAAACTTATTAACCAATACCTCCCATAAAGTAATAACCATATGAAAGCTTAGAGTATTGTACAACTCTTCAGTCACTATCAGGTCTTTTAAAGCAATATTGAAAGATAATCTGAGCTTTGAAGTGAAAAAGTAACACCATTTTTGAATAGCCATATATTTATATAGAGAAGACCTTTCGATATGAAAGTGTATTCATTAGAAAGCTTTAATGGAATATTTTCGTTTTTACTCTAACAATGAAGTTCGAGTTTATTATAAAAATAACGAGATATTTTAAAAAAAACTTCATGAGGGAATGCCTGTTTACTGCAATATCTTGCTATTTAATTACTAATAAAATAATTAGCTCATGGGAAAATATCTCAACAACACTGAAGTAAATATTCTAGCATTTTAAAATGTAACAACTATATATGTGGTAGAAATAGGTTGATCACTTTACTCAATTAGGTGACTTTTGATGCAATTCGTATGAAAGCACATAAAAAATAATTGAGTTAGATGCAATTAAAAATTGAGATTTTAGGAATTGAGTCAAAGCCAAATTAATTTGACAACATGTATATAACAGACCTTTAATTCTCAGGTTAAACTTAAACAAAGGAATTTAAATGATTGAATCACTTTAGAAATAACTTGAAAATAATAGAAAGGTTCAAGTTATACATGCAGCCCAAAGTATTTTGACACTGTCATAAAGGGGGTTACACATGTAGTAAAGGGGTGTTACACTTATGTTTTTAATAGTGAATGCCGTAATTAATTTCTACTTTCTACCATCAAAATCACCAAACCAATTTGGGCTGCATGTATAGTCAAGTCAATCAGTAAACTCTATGCAAAGCCCATTATTTATGTATCATTAAATAAATATTAATTAAAAAACTCTCATTATAGTGAACCTTACCTTAAACTTAAACTTAAGAGTTTTGAGTCACAGCATTGTACCTCATTAGTTTCTGTGTATTCAATGACAAAGCAAAACACAAAAATATATTTTAACAAATATTTAAAAGTCCAACAAATTACAATTGGTTATTGATCATCTGTCTGTATCTGAAACACAATACTAATTTTTCAACAGTACAACAATGAGAATATGGATGTTCAGTACTGTACACTTTTGCATTCTGTACTGTATACTCTACAAAATTGAAAAAATCATTCAGTACACAACACCCTCCACTATAAATTCTGTACTTGTACTATTTAAAAATCAATACAGAAATACCAATTTACAGATCATACAGTACAGGAATGCAAAAGTGCATAGTACTGAATGTCTACAAACTGAACAACAACCTTTACTTAGTGTGTAAGGCATTTAAGTTCACAAAGTAAAAAAATTTTTTTTTATGCAGATTGGAGAACAGGCCAAATATATTATCAAAATTATTTGATGATTAATAGTAATTGTAAACATCTATTACAATGTTTGAATTAAATGATAGTTTGATTTTGGTCTAAGCCCTTGCTATTTTGTAATAATTAAATCAAAATTAAAGTGATGTAACATAATGCCGATCATAAATAAAAAAATTGGATCAAATAAAGAGGTACAAATATGTAACTAAGAGAAAATATAGTAAATAGATCTAGCTTTAGATTACAGAGAGTTTTTTTTTTTCTTACCAAATAAAAAAAAATTTTTTATATATAGTAAAGGCATTGAAAAAAAATTGCCAATAGATAAACTTTATAACCAAATGAGTTGGGGCAAAAGACTCTCTGTAACTTTATCATAGAAGACTCAAACAATAAAACTATAAAGGTTTCATTAAATTTTATTATAAAAAGAATTATTTGATTTATTATTAAATTTTACCATAAAATTTTCCATCATAATTGATAAATTAATAAGAATTTCTTTTTTTTTTTCAAAAAAAATTATTCTTGGTCGAATTTTTTGTGTGAAATATATGATAAAGATACTAAAAAATCCGCATATAATAATTTGTTATATTGATGTAACATATTGTATGTTTGAACACCACAACCTCCGACGGCATAATCTCAATAATGATAACAATGATTGAAATAAGTTCTTCAAGCTACTGGTTTATTTAATTCTATGAAAAAAATTATATTGTTTTTCATTTATAAAAAAGCTGATGATTAATAAAATTTTAACGTTAGTAACTATTGAAAGCATATTCAACATCTAATTTTGGAAAAGCGTGTTTCTCTTGATATGCATAATCTCATGAATCGTCGATTTGGAACTATTGACCTTTGCTGGTACAACAGACATTAAAAGTATTACGACCAGCAAGCAGTCCAATCAGAATGCATGTTAAAATTGCACAGATGTACAAAATTATTTTTCGGGTCAAATCGTATAAAGTGACAGATGCGGTTTCTAACCAAATATGAAAATAATTACATTACATATTTGGTTAGCATGTACCCTCTTTACCCTCGTAAGACCCCACAAATTTTATAGATAGGTTACTGCTGCAGCTGAGTCAGATTCATATATAAATTTAAATTTTTTGTCAGTAATAGTAATTATTTAGTGATAGGTCAATATTATTATATTTAGTAATCAACGATTTATTAGGGAACCAAAAATTTTGTGTACCGAAGTTTTTCTTTGCGTACTCGTTCAAAAAGCAAAACCAATACTTTATAATAAATATTTTATATCGTTAAAATATTATAAATTATAAAAATCAATGAATTATTATCAATTTATTTGTAAAATTTAATTCCATTACAGTAGACAGTTTCAAAATTTTTAATGTTAGTATATATTATGGACAAATTATGTTCTTTTTTCTAATGTATTGCAAACCTTAGGGTCAAATTATATATTAAACTTAATTTTGGTCTGGGTCAAATCGTATAACAAACAGTAAATTTTGTTGCCAACCTATCTATGAAGTTTGCTGGGTCCCATTAATATAGTAATGTGTATTTATTTTTTTAAGTTTGGAAAAATTATAAACCTGTATATTAATATCACACGAATCCTGTTGAAACGAGAATTTTTCAATATTAAAAACAAACAGATGGGGTGGTTATAAAAAATTAAGTCATAATGAATCGAA